CTTGCTCCCTCCTCCCTGTGACTTCCTCTCACATATTTATACATGGCTATCACGTCTCCTCTCAGCCTTCTCGTCTTCAGGCTAAACATGCCCTGCTCTTTAAGCCGCTCCTCATAGGGCTCATAGCATGGAGAGCTGTTGCCTTCCCACAAAAGCTGTACCTATTGATCTACTCACATATTGCATGTTTTCGAACTACTAAGTTGGCAGGAGCTGGGGCTAACAGTGGGCGCTCACCCTGCTCCCCAGATTTGAACCTCCAACCTTTCAGTCAGCAGGTTCAGCAGCTAAGATAAAAAGAGTCTCACAAGACCAGAGATAAAACTCCATGCAAAGGTTAAAAACATGAATATAAATCCAAGGAGCAGGGTAAACTCATGAGCTTGAAAAATCCAAAGATGAGGAATAAAACATCTACTTAAGCGATCCAAGAATCAAAGAACAACACATTAGCTTGAGTTCATGGTAAAATCCCCAAGACTTAAAGCAAAACTTGAGCAGGACATGACTTGAAGCAAGAACCAAGGCAAAAGATGTGTGCTCTAATTGCAAAGTTGCTTGATCTGAAACACTGAAAGCATTTCCCCCCCTTTATAAGGACAGCAATGCATGAAAGCATTCCTTCGGCTGCTTTTTCCCATCTGGAATTCTTCCTACGGAGAAGCAGTCTCACCTCTCTATCTAATCTCTTTTGTAGCCTGTCATTCTGCAAAACAGTTTCGTTTTCAATCAGAGAGTCCTCCGTACCCCCAACTGGGAAATTGCCTTCCTGTTCCAACATCTCCTCTGTCTGAACTGGTCCTGCACCCCCAGACTCCTCATCAACATTCTCAGCTGGCTGCACTATACCAAACCCCTCCACATCTTCAACTTGCTGAGCTACAACAGTGGTATCCATCCTCGCTGACTCCCACAAGGGAACGTTTCCCTTTCACGGTGCCACCCACGAGAAGGCCTCGAGATTGATTATGACTGAAGCTGAGGAGAGGGCAACCCAAGGACCTGGAGAGAGCTTCCGCGAATACAGACCAACGGCCACCCACGACAGTGGTGCCCTTACCTTGTCCGAGGGGCTGCCCTTGAGAAGGCAGGACTCCCTGCCCCAGTTCGCCGTTGAGCCAGAGCTGCATGCGGATGAAGGGCTCGCGGCCTTTCTGGGTCAGCTTGCTCCAGGGCTTCGGCCGGGACAGCATGTCGCTGACGCTTCCCTGGGAGAGGCCCAGCACCTGAAGGGAGGGAGGGAGGGAAGGAAAGAGCCAGGGACAGGTAAAGTCAGGTCTTCAAGCCACGCCCAGCCCTTCTCCAGGGGGATTCCATACACAATGGGATCTACACTTGGATCGGAAGCCATATCATATGTTCAAGTGAACCCCTCTGCTCATTCCCAGAAAAGAACCTCATGTTCTGCTTCTGAACATCTGTGGGTCCCCAGGTGTTTTGGACTACAACTCCCAGAAATCCCAGCTAGTTTACTAGCTGTTAGGTTTCTGGGATCTGAAGGCCAAAACATCTGGGGACCCACAGATGTTGAGAACCGCTGACTTATAGATAATGTATTGTGTGGTTTCCAGGCTGTACAGCTGTGTTCTAGAAGCATTGGAACCTCTGGAGATGCCAACCACAGAAGAAGATGAAACGTCAAGAGAAAATGCTGCTAGGACAGTGGTTCTCAACCTGGGGTCCCCAGATGTTTTTGGCCTACAACTCCCAGAAATCCTAAAAGCTGGTAAACTGGCTGGGATTTCTGGGAGTTGTAGGCCAAAAACATCTGGGGACCCCAGGTTTAGAACCACTGTGCTAGGACAAGGCTATACAGCTACTCCACACCCCAGTGATTCCAGCCCTGAAAGCCTTGTGGCATCTTCAACATGGTTTGTTTTGTTTTGTGTTGCTGGTGCCCCTGGGTCTTTTCTCAACGTTCTCGAGCCTTTCAGAGAAAGTAAAGACCTTGGCTTTGGGAAGGAGAGAGCAATGGGATGCCTCCACCCACAACCCTCTTTCCAACCACTACCGTTCCCGGCGGGATGTGTACCTTTTCCCCAAATATCCTTTGGCAGATGCCGTTCTTGGCTAGCTTCTCTTTGATCTGACGGGTGAGCTCTATGGTGTCCACCTCCTGGTACATGTAGACCTCGTACTGTTCCGGCGTCAGTGGCGGGACGGAGGGTTTCGATGGCTTCGACAAGGGGACGATGGGGGAGGAAGGGAGGGGGCTGTTCTGCGGGGTCTCGCTGCGGCTGGCCCCCGTCACGCTCAGCTCGGAACCCTGTGAGTAGGGCGACTCGGCATTGGGCCACTCCTTCCAGTACTCCGAGGAGGCGGAGGAGGAGGAGGGCCCTTGGAGCGGCTGCCCGCGCTTCTCCTTCCCGCCAGGGGCCTCCTCTACCTTGGGCACCTCCTCCGGGGCTGGCGGCGCGGCCCTCCGCTCCGGCTGCACCGTGCTCCACCAGTGGTCCTTCCAGACCCCGCTGCGTCCTAGTTCGTTCTTAACGTGCCGCAACACGCTTTGCGTGGAGGCGTCCGAGACCCCGTGGAGCAACTCCAGCGCAGGACTCTCGGGGGCCTCCTTCTTGAGGGTCTGCAGCGAGCAGAGGCTGGACTCTGCCGAGGAGGAGGATGAGGATGAGTGCTTCTTCAAGGACATGGGCAAAGGGGAGTAGCCGGAGACCGAAGAGAGGCCCGCCGGGGTGGGGACCAGCTTGGGGGACAGGAGGGACATCTCGGCCTGGGAGAGCACCGATGGGGCGGCCTTCAAAGCGGGCTCCAGGGCGGCCTGCTGGGCCTCCATCTCTCGCCGGGCCTGCTGCAGGATGGAGCGGATGGCGTCGTCGGATCCACCGCCACTGCTGCAAAGGGAAGGTGGCTGCGGAGGCTCCGCTGCAGAGAGAAGGGAAACGGTGGTCGGATCAGATGCGCTGGATGGCACAACACACCTCTCGAGGCAGACCTCCTTGCAACCCTCGCTCCCCCCGTCCCCTCAGAAGCAAGAACATGCCATTTCCTGGGAAAGGGTGCAAGTGAGAGCGCGGGCTGGCTTTATAACAAAGCCATTGCCCCTTGCATGGCATTATGTAACACTACGATTTGTGTTCCTGGGTTGTCAGTGTTATTTCCTAATGGTTTCTATCATCAAAACATGGGAAAAGTTGATTAAACTGCACAAACTTTGTGGGAGTGACACCATCCTGCTATTGTACATTTTGCCCTAGTTTTTCAATGAATATCTCATAATGGAGTTTCAACCAACTCAACATCGTCTGTGGCAGCCACAAAAAATGAAGTTCCTGGAGTAGAACGGCAACTGTATTTACTTGAGTCAAATGCGCCCTAGAATCTAACGAGAACCCCAATTTTCAAAACCCCCAAACCAAAAAAAATATTGACCATATTACACGAGTCTAATGCAAGCCCTAATTTTGGGAAGGTAATTTTGTAAAAAAAAGATGAGCATTAGAATCGAGTAAATACGGTACTTCCTGCACAATTAAACAGGAATAATACATTCAAACCAGAAACATAATATTTTTTTCCAAATTTACTTACATAGTGTTATGCTAAGCAATTATGTCTATGAATTTCAACATGTTTCCAAAAATAATATCTGCATTCATTGGCTTTCACTAAAGAATTAACAGGCTCAACAGCTGGGGGGGAAAGCACATTCCCGCATTTAAAATATTCCTGGGATCAAGCAGTAAGGAAGAGAGTGAACTCATGGCTCATGTGCTCTCTTCGTGAGTAAAATCTATGGAAAAGATGATTTGAATTCTCAATAGCTGGTTCTATAACAAAGTGGAATGCTTTCCTTTCGTTTCATGGGACAGGAAAAGCTTTATATGAATCATAGAATCATAGAGTTGGAAGAGACCTCGTGGGCCATCTATTCCAACCCCCTACCAAGAAGCTGGATAATCACATTCAAAGTATGAGACGAGGAAAGGATTTTAGCTCAGTCTCGTCAACATTGGATTTTTATGACGGTCTTGTTCCCAAGAGGATTTCTAGTTTCATATTTCAAGTTTTGCCAGATTCCTGTTCTGGGTATTGGATCTCCATGCCGTCTTGTTTTTTTGGGTTTTGCATCTTTGGATCTTCTGTTTTTACTTTTGTAGCCTGAAGTTCATGGACCATCTGTACTTCTTGGAAAATACTGTTTCTATCATTTTTATTGCTTTGCTTACATATATCCTTCAATTAACTACTTGCTGATTTTACTATAATGGTGTGGTGTCTACGAACAGAGGTGTTCCTACTCTGGGATATACCGTATTTTCCGGCATATTAGACGACTTTTTAACCCTGGAAAATCCTCGCTGAATTTGGGGGTAGATTAGTACGCCGGGTATTAAAAAATCACTTCCTGTTTTGGGTCCAAAACAAGATGGAGGCTCCTAACAGGTGAGGGAGGTGGCCAGCTGCCCTCCGCTGGAGCAGGGCGCCCGAAGAAGCAGCAGCTGCTAAGCTCCTCCAGCGCACCTTGGCTCCTGCTGACGGGCTTCAGCCTCACCGAGGGGCTCTTCCACTCCGTGCCCGCCTCGGCTGTCAGTGAGGCAGAGGAGGAGTAGGCGATATACTCGCCGGATGGCAGTGTTACCTCCTCCTCCACCACCGCCGCACTGACAGCCGAGGAAGGGAGAGGGCTCTTCTGCGGGGTCTCGCTGCAGCTGCCCCCCGTCACACTCAGCTCGGAGCCCTGTGAGTAGAGCGACTCAGCGTTAGGCCATTCCTTCCAGTATTCCGAGGAAGCGGAGGAGGAGGAGGGCCCTTGGAGCAACTGTCCGCGCTTCTCCTTCCCACCAGGGGCCTCCTCTGCCTTGGGTGCCTCCTCGAAGGCTGGTGGTGCGGCCCTCTGCTCCGGCTGCACCGTGCTCCACCAGTGGTCCTTCCACACCCTGCTCTGCCCTAGTTCATTCTTAACGTGCCGCAGCACGCTTTGCGTGGAGGCGTCCGAGACCCCATGGAGCAGCTCCAGCGCAGGGCTCTCGGGGGCCTCCTTCTTGAGGGTCTGCAGCGAGCAGAGGCTGGACTCTGCCGAGGAGGAGGAAGAGGATGAGTGCTTCTTCAAGGACATGGGCAAAGGGGAGTAGCCGGAGACTGAAGAGAGGCCCGCCGGGGTGGGGACCAGCTTGGGGGACAGGAGGGACATCTGACTGTCAGTGAGGCAGAGGAGGAGGAGGCGATATACTCGCCGGACGGCAGTGTTACCTCCTCCTCCTCCTCCACCACCGCACTGACAGCCGAGGCAGAAATGGAGTGGAGGAGCCTCTTGGGGAGGCTGAAGCCAAGCAGTGGGAGCTAAGCGGTGCCGGAGGGCAGCCCTCAGGTGCCACTTGGCTCCTGCTGTCGGGCTTCAGCCTCCATGAGGGGCTCTTCCACTCCATGCCTGCCTTGTTTGCCTCATTGACAGCCGAGGCGGGCATGGAGTGGAAGAGCCCCTTGCCTCCTCCTCCTCTGCTGTCCTTCCTCCTCCGCCACCACACTGACAGTTAGTCGGGCAAGGAATGGAAGAGCCCGTTGTTGAGACCGAAGCCCGGTAGCAGGAGCTAAGTGGTGCCAGAGGAGAGCAGCAGTAGCAGCTTCTTTGGGTGCCCTGCTCAAGCGCAGGGCAGCTGCCCGCCTCCCTCACCTGTTAGGAGCCTCCATCTTGTTTTGGATCCAAAACAGGAAGTGATATTTTGGACCCAAAACAGGAAATGATGAGCACGGTGGTTGGCTGGCTACGGCGGGACCTGGCTACTAGTGGTAGGGAGGCGCCTCTATGGAGCCAAGAAGCAGCCTCAAGGCCCAGGAAAGGAGGCTTCGGGGCTTGAAGGGGCTGGCAAGGGGGGTACTCTAATATATCCAAAAGAGACGAAAGAAGAGAATGCAACATTAAAAAGTACACTAAGTGATATCTATAAATTATTATTATTGATGAACTAGAAAAAATTTATTTGAAAAAAGTATGGGAAGTAGATTTGGGGGAAAAGTGAATAATCAAGAATGGGCAAACATATGGAGTATGTTTATAAGAATTAAGGAAAATTACTACAAAATGACATGGAGGTGGTATCTAACTCCCATTAGATTAAATCAGATGGATAAAAAAAATACTCAAATCAATGCTGGAGAGGCTGTCAGGAAATATAGGGGCAAAAGCACTGAGCTGCTGAGCTTGTTGATCGAAAGGTCGCAGGTTCGATACCGGGGAGAGGCGTGAGCTTCCACTGTCAGCCCTAGCTTCTGCCAACCTAGCAGTTCGAAAACATGCAAATGTGAGTAGATCAATAGGTACCGCTCCGGCGGGAAGGTAACGGCGCTCCATGCAGTCATGCCGGCCACATGACCTTGGAGGTGTCTACGGACAACGCTGGCTTTTCGGCTTAGAAATGGAGATGAGCACCACACCCCAGAGTCAGACATGACTGGACTTAATGTCAGGGGACTACCTTTACCTTTACCTTACCTTCATATGTGGTGGTCATGCAAAATTATACAAAAAAATTGGGAAAGTATATTTTAAAAATTTAAATATAATGATAAAAATTTAAAAATAATGATAAAAATTTGATTAAATATGTTTTTAATGTTAGATTGTATATAATATGACATACACTTTTGTCTAAGATACTGTAAAAAGAGAGAAGAATGTATGCTTATACATTTTGTTGGACAAATTGAAAAGTTGGGGGGACGTCTTATGCGCCCAGCCGTCTAATATGCCAAAAAATACGGTAGTTCGCCAGCAAAAGACCCAACGTGCGAATACACAGAAATTCATTGTTGTGCCATCCTTTCTGGAAATGCTTAAGGAAGGAAGGCGACCTTTTTTTCACGTGGGTCCAAGATAGTCACCACATGCCTTGTGTCCTGGCAAGGTGTGTCCTTACCTGTTTTCTGCACCTGCAACTCCCTCTTGGCTTGCTCCAGGATGGATTTGATGGCTTCGTCGGAGCCGGCCTCCGTAGCCCGGATCCTGGTGGTGATATTGCCTGGGCAAAGGGGAGGAGAAGAAGAAGTGCTTGCCGTCAAAACACCTTGCAGAGGAACAGCACTTCCGTCCCAACATGATCTCCACTGAACCACCGGGAGACAGCAACAATAACACTATACAACAAGGTTTGGAAAAAAAATGTGTTCCTGGTGCAAAAGTGTGATTTCCAGTTTCATTCTGTGGTCCTGACTTTGAAAGTTGTTGTTCTCCTCCAGGAACTTTGTTGTTTTTGTGGCTGCTACAAACTATTGGAATTGGCTCAGAGATTCATTTTCCCTCCTGCAAAAACGAAGTTAGGGAATGTATTGTCGAAGGCTTTCATTGCTGGAATCACTAGGTTCTTGTGGGTTTTTTCAGGCTATAGAGCCATGTTCTAGAGGCATTTCTCCTGACGT